GAGGACTATTTGACGGTGCTACTCTGTTGTCAGTAAACATGCCATTCAGTGGGTGTGGGAGTCTGAGCCGTGGAAGAGCCAGTTCCATGGACCATGTTGTCTGTTCGCCCACCCTTAACAGCAAGGGAAGTTCTTATTGTAACTGCCTGCTCTTTGGTAAGAGCACTGTATGCATTGTCAGTAATTGCTCTTCTATTGGGGTATATCTGATACCTGCTTCCTTCTATAATTGAGACCCAAATCCAAGGGCACTCTTTCCTTTTGCTGTTTTTGCCAGAATGCCCAGCCCATGCCTCCAGGGTTACTGAAACATCTAACTCAGATGGTAACTCTGCCTTGGACATTCCAAGGACTTTAATTTGACCAGTACTTTTATCTTCTCAAAGGCAGCCAGTTGTTCGGCTCCCTAATCCCACATATGTCCTTACTTAACTAGACAATATAGTGGTTGAAGGCACTGTGCTATGTGGGGCATAAATGTTTACCAGTCCCCCAGAATTCCACAAAATTCTCTTTCACATTTTTAGGGGATAGATTAGGCTAGTACTTTGTGACAATGCAGGTCTCATGCGACTCTAAAGGACTTTACTGCAGTGCCCGGACCTGGAATTTTCTGCATATTCCCTGCCGATCCTCCTTGTTGTAGGTGGTTCAGCAAAGCCTGCAAAGTTTTCTGCACAAAGCAAATCTTCACAGGTTAGCATTAGGTCATCAATATGAGCCCATTTCACAGAGGTCGGGAAGGAAGACAGTGCCAGGTCCAGAGCCACCATCCCAGGGCACATGGTGGGGTGAGGCAAATAGCCTGGAGGGAGCAGCTGGAAGGTAAACCCAAGTGGGAACACATTTTCTCACAGTTCTTTGTCACTGTGAGGGCATCAGCCTTGCAGCAAGGAAAGGCTACAACCCATCCAGAAGATAAACACACAACAAGGATATAATGGAGTACAACACCAATTGCATCCGGTGGATAGTTGGATGGTAATTGCCATCGAGGTAGATGGAGTGGCAGTTGAAATAAGTCCTGCTTAAAGGCACTAGGGTGAATGAAGGAACGCAAATACTGAGACATGGCGTTTTCCAGGGAGCCTGGAAGAACCAAGTGACTGTCGGGTTTCCCATAGCCCTGTCTCTTCATTTGATTGACAACCCTTGTGTGCCCATCTTAATTTCCCTGACTCAGGAGCAGCTTGTTGCCATATTACAAGGACATCAGAACAGCAGAAGTCTGGCAATGAGGGGTCATTTTTGCAGAAGCAGGGTGGACTTCATCCATATGTGCCATAATCTTCATAGATTTTGTTGTTTCTGCCTTTTGCTGAAAGTCGTCCAGGGTATTTCAAATGCAGAAGCTTAGCTTTAACTATTGAGAAGATTCCATTTTCTTTAGTAATCGAAGACCTGATTAAGACTACGTAAAACCCAGAAAATTATTTTTTAAATTAATGTTTTTATTGATTTCAGAGAGGAAGGGAGAGGGAGAGGGAGATAGAAACATCACTGATGAGAGAGAATCATTGATTGGCTGCCTCCTACATGCCCCACACTGGGGACCGAGCCCACAACACAGACATATGCCCAGACTGGGAATTGAACCATGACCTTCTGGTTCATAGGTTCAACCACTTAGCATGCTGGGCCAGAAAATTATTTTGCTAAAATATAGAATCTTTGTTTTCTAGGCAGAAAACTTATTATAATATCTTATCAGGAGCAGACCCACAATCCAAAAAAACTTCGTATTTTTAACTGCGAGAAAGAGAACCAAACTCTGTTACAACAGCTTACTTTTAATATTTAAATCCACTTAATTAAATCCATTTTAATCTTAGCAAGCTTGACCAAACATTAAAAATATTTTCTTCAAAGGCTTCTTTTCATAAACCTTCTACAGTTATTGCTAAAGCTGTCACCTAAAGGCCTTTTATTCTACTTAAGTCTATTTATTTTAGTGGAACTTAACAATTATGTTTAGATTACCCACAAAACTTGATGAGACTTTAGATAAAATCAGCCTTCATTCTAAGTTATTTTTGCTGATTAATTTATAAGCCTAGGTAAAACAAAAGGTAAAGATGTACCTGTTTTAATTAAACTACCAAACATAAGCTAGTTTTAATATCAGATATTTTCCCAAATCTCTTGATCCTGAAAAGCATTTAGGTTGGTTTCTGTATTTCTGACAATTTTAGAATACTCACTCCTTAATTTAGTGCTTAAATCCTTTAAGCCAATTAAACATATCTCTTTTACCAGTCAGCAATACCACATGAAGGTAGAAAATACCACACAAATACAACATGTATATAGACACACATGAACATACAAACAGATAGATGCACACAGAGACCTCATGGCTTCCATAGAAGAGTGTGCTCTGCTCAAAGGGCCTTTCCTCCCTCACCTCTGTCAGCCTTCCCGAGCTAACAGAGTGTAGACATTCCCATGTCTTTTTCTAGTTTCAGTTCTCCTTCTACTTTTCTAACCATGGCTTCTAGCTGGGTGTCAGTGGCCAGTCAAACCACCCACAATAGGGACCAGCCTATGGCTGTGGCCGTAACTTTTCCTGCCTTGACACAATGTTTGAGATCATCTGGCATTTTGGAGGCATCCCTGTACTCACACACATATCGAGTATAGGGGCCACCCCACATGGATGTATATGTCCAACCTGGGATTTCCCCTACAGATGCCCTTTTCCCATTTTTGTTTCGTTTTGGTTTTTTTTTTGGTCTCCTGTCTGGCTTGCCAATTGTTAGTTATACTCAAACCCCAGAAAAGCCCAGAGAAAGAAAATCTACCTCTAAAGTGGAGGATAGAAAAAAAGGCAAAGAAATAGGCTGGCCACTCCAGTTTGGCAATTAATAGAGTTTATGAAGGGAAACTTAACCGAGGAGACACGACCAGGGTGGCTGCAAGGCCAAATAGATTTTTGCGCCCACTTGGCAGGTGACAAAGGATTATATAGAGTAAAAAGGGGTGGGGGCGAGGGTAGTCACAGTACTAGTATGCGGATGCCAGCAGGTATGGGAAATCACGTGCTTGTCCAGGTCAGGACAGCAGCCGGTTCCGGGAACCAGCATGAAGTGGAGGCAGGGGAAGGGGTGCTGATTTATGTCAGATAAACATCAATTCCCATCAGTCTCTAAGTGGTTGCAGTAAGCAACCTCCCTCTTCTGTCCCGGGTCCCGCTTGTGCGTCCGCCGGCAGCCTCAGGATGGGACAGTCTCTCCCCCACACTCTAGGGTTAGAAAACAAACAGCAGTAAAATACACAAACATACTCAGCACATGTTTTTGTGTCATGTGTTGTCCCAAATGCCTGTCATTCTGGTGGTGTGCTCTCAAGCGTAAACACGTGAGTTAAGGGGATTGTTTGATAAAATGTAGATACTCCATGTGGTTTCCTTTGTTTAAAAATATTTGGGGAATGATGATAAATGCATATTTTGGTCCTCAGGTTGGAAGAGGGGAACAGACTTACCTAAGGTCCCCAAAGCTGGGAATTATGTGGAGTTGGGCCATGAACCCTGTCTTCTGATTTCCAACCAGTGTGGACGCTCCACAGGGATTATGTATGCTAAATTAGAAGTATGTGTAAACTAAAGTTTGCTCGTTTAGTTTATTTGCTTTCCCCTGACATAGCATTCATTTTTAACTAACTTATCACAGTGGAATGTGGGGTGGTGGCTGTCTTAATAGCAGTGGGAAGCACCAGCTGCCACCTGGGAGGCAAGATTGTCAGCCTTGACTGGATAGTCGCTACAGGTTAGCACACAGCCCATGCACTCAGTAGTTCCAGAGGTCTCGACTCGAATAGAGCACAGCACAATTATGACATTTGTTACGATGACCTTCATTATCAAGGAAAGTTTAAATTATGTTCAGTGTATTCTACTTAGGAAGACAAAGGAATGATTTATTTTAAGAGTTCCATTTACACTTATTTCACCATGAAAAGGGAGGCAGCATTACATTATTTGGAAATGCATGCAACCACATTTGCACATTCTACACTGCATTACCCTGATTGAGGTTAACAGATATGGGTAGGAGTGAGAGGGGTGGTACATGCAATTGTCCAGATGAACAAGAAATGTATTAAGAGATGCAAGGGAAATAGTATACTTGTTTAAAGTCACAGGCGTTGAAATAGAAGACCTATTGTGGAACCATATATAATAAGTTCGTCTTTCGCATTTAATTGCAGGTGGAAATGAGGACTTATTTATTTCTATCTTTGAAGAAAAAGTGGGAACTAAAACATGTTTTGGGTTTTAAAAATATGTGTATTCTCCAAAGGCTTTTTTGCATTTATATTTTAGAAAGGTGTCAAGGTTTTTCTGTCCACAAATATGTGATGAACTATACTGTCATTTAATACAGAGCACGTAATTAGCTGAATTTACCTGTGCTATGATACTGAAAAATCACATAGGTGCATCTAAAGGTGTATAAAAATTGAGGATATGGGAAATATTTTTAATAGCGCTTTTATCCATTTTTTATAAAATTAGAAAAAGGACTTGTAAAAATTGTAATGCATAACACTTAAAAGTCATTTCAAGGACTAAAGAAATGAAATGTTTATTTACATCTTAAGGCGTATATTCACTTTCTATTGAGAGAGAGAAAAATAGATGTAATATATATTCATTACTGCTTCTGAAAGAAGTTCTCAAATTTCCGTATAAAATTTTGTTCTGAGCGAATTTTTTTCTTTCTTATCCAACATGAGAAAGTAGTAGGGAAGCCACTAGCTTTTAAACAATGGAACTGTTTGTTGGGTTACGTATAGATTATGTTGTGTTGATAAAAGAGACTGAGGAGGGACAGAGAAAAAGTCTCTTTCTGCACATTTAGTGGGCATTTTGAAAATAATAGGCCAACATCATTTTCTTCTAATTTTCCCTTTTTATGTGTTTATACACAAGTACTTATAGTTGAGCCATTGGATAAACGCATCTGTATAACAATCTTGCTTTTGGACTTGTGTTTCAGGAGAGCCAGCCATGAGAGGCTACCTCGTGGCTATCTTCCTGAGTGCTGTCTTCCTCTATTACGTGCTGCATTGTATATTATGGGGAACAAATGTCTATTGGTAAGTTTAATTTTTGCTATTTAAAAATAACTTCCAGCCCTAACCAGTTTGGCTCAGTGGATAGAGCGTCGGCCTGCCAACTGAAGGGTCCCAGGTTCGATTCTGGTCAAGGGCATGTACCTTGGTTGCGGGCACATCCGCAGTAGGGGGTGTGCAGGAGGCAGCTGATCAATGTTTCTCTTTCATCGATGATGTTTCTAACTATCCCTCTCCCTTCCTCTCTGTAAAAAAAATCAATAAAATATATTTTTAAAATAAATAAGATGATCTATTTTTAAAAAAAAACTTCCAAACTAGTCTTTCACACAGACACACAAATGATATTAGAGGGACCTATTAAAATCGCCTGTAACATTTTGAAACTTTTCTAGCTTCCCATTATAAACCAGGGTTTTATCATTCTAGTACCCTATATGTTTTAATCTCTAACAGTTTTAAAAACTGACAAGCAACACCTTTTTATTGACTTTCTAGTGAAGCCGTGGTGTTGACCATCTTTGGGATATAACTGTCTTCATATAATATTTCATCTCCTTGAATTGGTGAAGTGATTCTTGGACTCAGAGATACTCAACCTTTCCAGCCTAAAATGCTTGGATAAGAGATTGTTTGATGAAATGTAGATACTACCTATATCTTCCTTTGCTTAAAAATATTTGATGAATGATGATATCTGTGTATTTTATAACAACTTTGAGTTAAAATTTCACATATAAAACATTGAAGAGGTAAAGGTAGTTTTATCAGAGAAAACTCCTCTAATAGGATTTTTACTCTTGTCCCCATTGTCAGTCCTTTGTCTGGGAAAAAAGTATGGATGACCCTTAAATCCAGAATGGGCAGTAGTATACAATTTTACCAAAATAAACCACACGACAACTTCCTGTCTTAGACAAAGTTTAGCTCTTTTTGCTAGCATTTCTATAGTAGATCATAGATCATGTTTCTAGCCTGTGTTTCCTACATACAAATATAAATTGATAATTCTGGATTTAATCATCACTGGTTGATTGAAAAATAATTGTAATACTCCTCATGAAAGGATGTTAAACAAATGGTCACTGGAAAAGACCCAATGCTAGGTGGGTGGCTTTAGCCACACGTTTTTGGCTTTGGACTTAAATATTTAGCTAGAGAACTTAGTCTGATTATATACTACATGAAAATTATGCCACAGGAATCTCCTTCCATCTCCACCACATCCTGTCTCTGTCCCACACTTAGTAATGGAAGACAAAAACAAAAGAGAAGGAAGCTTACTAGATCGATATTTACTTACAAATACATTGTTGTCCTAGGAGAAATGGTGAAGACAATGAACTGTCTGAATTCATCAGTCTTTTTTTTTAAATTTTAACTTATTGATTTAAGCAAGAGAGACACACAGAAGAGACACAGAGAGAGAAAGACACACAGAGAGACACACACAGAGAGAGAGAGAGACAGACAGACAGACAGAGAGAGACACACAGAGAGACACAGAGACACATACAGAGAGAGACACACAGAGGGAAACACACAGAGAGACAGAGAGACTGACTTTGATTTGTTGTTCTGCTTAGTTATGCATTCATTGGATTATTATTTTTTTAATTTAAAATCTTTATTGTTTAAAGTATTACATAAGTCTCCTTTTTCCCCCATTGACCTCTCCCCAGCCGCACCCACTCTCCAGCACATGCCCTCACCCCCTACTGTCTGTGTCCATTGGTTATGCTCATATGCATGCATACAAGTCCTTGTTTGATCTCTTAAATTCCCCCTCCCCTGCCTACCCTCTTAGGTTGGACAGTCTGTTCAATGCTTCTATGCCTCTGCCTCTATTTTTGTTTATTAGTTTATGTTGTTCATTATATTCCACAAATTAGTGAGATCATGTGGTATTTATCTTTCTCTGACTGGCTTATTTTGCTTAGCATAATGCTCTCCATGTCCATCCATGCTGTTGTGAATGGTAAGAGTTCTTTCTTTTTACAGCAGCGTAGTATTCCACTGTGTAGATTTACCATAGCTTTTTAATCCATTCATAAGCTGATGGGCACTTAGGCTGTTTCCAAATCTTAGCTATTGTAAATTGTGTTGCTATGAACATAGGGGTGCATATACCCTTTCTGATTGGTGTTTCTGGTTTCTTGGGATATATTCCTAGAAGTGCGGTTACTTGGTCAAATGGGAGTTCCATTTTAATTTTTTGAGGAAACTCCATACTATTTTCCACAGTGGCTGCACCAGTCAGCATTCCCACCAGCAGTGCACGTGGGTTACTTTCTCTCCACATCCTCTCCAGCACTTGTCGTTTGTTGATTTGTTGATGATAGTCATTCTGACAGGTGTGAGATGGTACCTCATTGTCATTTTGATTTGCATCTCTCTGATGATTAGTGCCTTTGAGCAGTCTTTGGGATGAGATAAGGTTGGAAAGGTTTTCTCTCTGAAAGCAGCTCCTGTCCAGGGAAGCCATGCCCATGTGCCTTTCTGCTTCCAACTAGCCAGATTAATTAAATGCTGCAAAATGCCCAAAGGTCCCAATATTTAGTCAAGGCATGTATGACACAGGCCGCATGCTTTCCAGGTGTGATGAACAGTGTTGAGAAAGACATTGAGACATGGGCAGATCCCGGAGCACCAGTGCACAGCCTGAAATCCCAAGTCTGGACCCAGCACGTCCTCCAGTGCCAGGCCTTTCTCGGCTTCGGTCTTAGAAGAAGATGATTTTTTTGTGCTTCGAGTTGGGTATTTGTCCCTTCGACTTTAACCTCCGAACAGCCTCCCTCATATGTTTGGGTTGTAGTGGTGGCATTTCTCCCCACTTCTCACACACATCCAGTGCCTCTTCTACCATATATATATATGTAATATGCAAATTAGTCAGGACACAGTAACAGTCACGACCGGCTCAGGAGGAGACTATGCATTCAGATGGGCCGGAGGGGACTGCGTGCCACTCCCAACCCCAACGGCCGCGGCACAGCTGAGGCTGAAGGCAGTCCCAGAGCGGAGACACAACACACAGGGAGGTGAGCCCAGAGCGAAGACACAACACACAGGGGGGCCTGCCCCTGCTGGGAGACAGCGCGCCAGCAGTCCCGTCTCTGTACGTGAGCTACAGAGGAAACACCTTCTTACCACTCATTGGCTAAGCTCCCTGTATGCCACTCGCAGTGTTCTTGGTAACTTGGGTAGTAAGAATCCAAGAAAGTGATCAAGGGTTTTTCTACCTCACTCCTGGAGGAAAAAACGAAGGGCTGCTGCTGAAGGGGCTAAGAAATGTCATATCCTGCCCTAGCCAGTTTGGCTCAGTGGATAGAGCCTCAGCCTGTGGACCGTAGGGTCTGGGTTCGATTCTGATCAAGGGCATGTACCTAGGTTGCATGCTCCTCCCTGACCGAGGCCCAGGTCAGGGCTCATGCAGGAGGCAACCAATCGAAGTGTCCCTCTCATATTGATGTTTCTCTCTGTCTTTCCTTCTCTCTTTCACGCTCTCTAAAAATCAATGGAAAAATATCCTCAGGTGAGGATAAAAAAAGAAAAAGAAATGTCATATCCTATGAAAGAGACATCTTGAAAATGCCTAAAGAAAGTTGTCATTTTTTTTCATGGTGAAGGGACTAGAGTCCGTGTTGATGAAAACACCTTGGTGGCTGCGGCGGCCGGCAGTGGCAGCAGCAGTGGGGTGATGGGGGGTGGTGCCTTCCCCTGATCAGCTGGTCGCCTCCCATAGAGGGAGGCCAGACTACGGCTTAGGACATTAAGCTGTCAGTAGGACATTCCCTGAGGGCTCCCGGACTGTGAGGGGGGCAGGCTGGGCTGAGGA